AGAGGAGGAGGAATGGTTGTGGCAAAAGAGAAAGAGGAGGAGGAGGAGGAATGGTGGTAGTGAAAGAGGAGAAGGAGAAAGGAGAAGGGGGAGGGGGAAAGAGGAGGCAGAGGAGGAATGGTTGTAGCAAAAGGAGAGGCAGGAGGAGGAGAAGAGAGGATGGCAGTGGTGAAAAAGGAGGAGAAAGAAAAGGAGGAGATGGAGAAGGTGGAGGAGGAATGGTAGTGGCAAAAGAGGAGAAGGAGGAGAAGGAGAAAAACTATGGTTGCAGGTGACAAACTACGGTCATATTACCTGACAAACTCCTGTCTTTCACAGGCCCACCGCCAGGTACCCCCTCATTCCTGCCAAATTCCTGCTCCCAGATCGGTGCCAACGCATCCCAACACCTTGCATGATCCCATCAGCCGTGGAGAAAACACCAGGCAGGGAAGGGGGTGGCACCACATGCCTGCTTTTTTTTAATAAGCTGCCGCAACTTCTTCCCTCCAGATGATTTCAGGACACCGATGCCTGGTTAAGTCCCCCGCCAAGAATCTCTCCCTTCATTTCTCCCAGATCAACGCCGGAGCAATCCACGCTCCGAAGAGATACCCCGATCCCGTGCATCAAGAGGCAGCGCTGGCCGGCACACGAGTTTTCCTTTGGAGGTCGATCGCTGGATCTCCTCAAGGAGGCCAGGCCAAGCCAACACAACAGATGTGCACGCTTCCAACCCAAGACTGCACGAAGGCAGAAGCGTGTCCCAACCCAAGGATAAAAGACCCAGGCACAAACCGAGCAAAGTGGCGGATGCAAGACAAGGCAGGGAGCTATGCACACACCTGTCCGTTGGGAATACAAAACAGCCACTTCACAAACGCCTGGCCCAGCACAGGAGAACAAAGCCATCCGGACAAGATTCAGCACTTCCATCTGCATTTAAAAGAATGGAGTGGAGTGGAGTGGAGTAGAATAAGGAATAGAATAGGAATAGAATAGAATAGAATAGAATAGAAGAGAAGAGAAGAGAAGAGAAGAGAAGAGAAGAGAAGAGAAGAGAAGAGAAAAAAAATAGGAATAGAATAGAATAGAATAGAACTAGAACACATGCTAGTCTCAAAATCCTTTTGTTTATTATTTCAGTGGTTGTGAATTGTAGTCATTCACAGCCTGTAATGAGTTCCAAACAGTTTGTGAATAGTCCAACGGAAGTCTGCCACAGTCCTTTGGGATAAGGCTGATAAGCACCCACCTTTATCTCCCTTGAATTGCTGCCCACGACTAAATTGCCAATTAGCTGCACAAGGCCAAAGGGAGCCCAAAGACCACACGGAGCTTCAGGTTTCAAACCGACCAGAACAAACAAAGTTGCTTCCTGCAAAGGCTCCTGTCCCTTTGCTCCTCCTTTATGTCTTATGGGAGGGGACAATCACCTCCAAGCCTTACTCCCGAGTCGCCCCTTTTGTCTTAACTCTTCTTGCCTTCTGGCAGCTCTGTGCAAGTGCGCACTGGGAACAGGCTCCCACTGTTCCTCTGCCTTGCTGCTGTCAGATTCTGGAGGCTCCAGAGTCAGCACCCCACTCCCAGATGGCCCTGGCCCCACCTCTGTATCGGACGCAGGACCCTCATCCGAGCCCTCCCCAGACTCCCGGACTGGCCCGTGTTCCTCCCACAACAGACATAACACAACTCTATTCATACCTAAGAATGAATCCATCTTTAAAACTCTTTATGATCCGAGAACTTTTAAAAACCACCAGTTCAGATCCTCCTCCTCCTCGTCGTAAGATGCCACTAAGGATTCAGAAGATCGCTTGTTAGCATCTTTTTCCGACTGGCCAGTTTTCTTCCAAAGCTGCAGCTTGCATGAGTTTCCGCTTTGGAATAAAACTGGCCAGTTGGAAAAGGCACCACCAGGTGTCCTTCTGTCTTCCAGCACCATTGATTAAGCCAATTCTCTTTCTCCACAATTAAAATTCAAAAGCACCAGAAAAGGTTCACGCACAAAGTGTTTTTTTGTAAAAGAAAAAAAAAGTGGCAGTTCTCGTGTAATTATTCCCTTTGACTGGGCCAAAAAGAGTCAGAAGTTGGTGCTTTTGGGGTTTTTTTTTTCTCCCTTTACACACTATACCCCCTTCTTTTCCCCTTCCTCCCTTCTTACTTTCCCATGTTTTTTTCTTTGTATTTTATATCTATCTATATATTAAAAGCAAAAGACCCCTCACGCATCATCACAAAATCTCCAGAACTGTCAAGCCTACAAACTTGAAATTTGGCACATATGTCCCTCTTGGCTTCTAGGGGCTCACTAAGAAAGGATTTTTCGAAATGACCCTCAGAGCATTTAGAGTATTTCCTATTATTATTATTATTATTATTATTATTATTATTATTATTATTATTATTATTATTATTATTATTATTATTATTATTATTAACATGCTCTGATGCTAAGGAGTTCTACTCCCCCTCCCCACCTGGAAAGAAATCTCTTCCAAAGGCAAAACAAAAGCAAAGGAGAGGAGTTTCAGTTTCAGTTTTACTTTCACAGCACCAAGCAGCTTTAGTACAGAACAGTTGAGCTAAGCCACGCCCAGGCTCCTTGCTGTCTCCTTCTTGCTCACACAGCAAATACTCTTTCAGTTTCCAAACAGCCCTCCACTCTCTCACACACTGACAGGACGCTAGCCAGAGGAACACCGATGGATGCTGGTAGGCAGAGGCAGGATTTTTTTTCTCTTCATTTGCCCGATCACATAGTTTCGTAGCGAAGCACAGTTATCAAGCTGGTACTTTGATGAACTAATAAAGTTTTAATCAGAAAAAAAAAAGTCCACGCAGGCCTGAATGCCAGAAAAAGAGTCACCTTCTGGGCCTTGACCAAAAGATGCCTTTTTTTTTTTTTTTTCAAAAGGCAACCGGAATTTCTTTGTTTTTCCTTGAAGACGTTTCGCTCCTCATCCAAGGAGCTTCTTCGGTTCTGACTGAATGGTGGAGGATGGAAGGATTTATATTCCTTGCAGCCCTCTGGTCATTGGCGCTCTTTCTGAGAGTCTCTGTGCCCTCGGGGTCACCTGGATCAATGCAAAAGGGTGAGGAGACTTCTTGGAACTACTGACTACAAGGAGTTGAAATCCTCCCCTCCTCCACCATTCAGTCAGAACTGAAGAAGCTTCTCGGATGAGAAGTGAAACCTCTTCAAGAAAAAAAAATCAAAGAAAGTCCAGTTGCCTTTTGAAAAAGCATCTTCGGAACAAACATGACCCTTCATAGAAGAATGGAGGTTGGCTGGTGCACAAACCAGAGTGGCTGCCTCCATTGCAAAAAAAAAACTTAACCTGGTTAAAAATGAGTTTATTTCCAGATTTGCAAAACACCCAGTTAATTGGGGATTAAAGACTAGGTTGACTGGTAGGTTGGTTTCATTTCTATACTGCCCTCTCCCCACAGGTTGAGAATTTGGACAACCTTAAAACCAAGGTTAGAACTAATGAAGGCTAGCAGTTTGTGTTATTCCACAGATGGACCAGGCAATGAAACTTTTACTTTTAAGGTTATTTC